TAATAGTAATTTGTCTTCCTTCTATATATAATAAATTTCTTCCTCTTTAGAGTGTCACATAGAAGTTTCATTTCTTGGCCATCTATGCTGACATAAATTTAAATGTCTCATTATTTACCTTGCTTTCCAGTAAAAGTAATATTAATATTGCAAATTATTCCATTTGGTCATCATGAAGACCAAATAATCTCTTTTTGTAAAATGTATATATGTGTTTAAGTTGAGTTCCAACTTTCCTAATAGTTTACAATATGAGTAAGTGTGTGTGTTACATGTGATTAGAGGTTACTCAACTTTAATTTTCTCCAGCTTCATCTTTCTTCTTTAGATTTGGACAAATACCAAACAATACCCAACAAATGATGAAACTATCTTTTGTTTCTCACTCAAAATCTTTCCCATATCATACATTATAAACTATACCAATCGTTAGTATATTGCCTCTCCGCTCCAAATGCCGACTCCTTTCCCCTTTGTGAGATAGCAGGGTGTGTGTGTGTGTGTGTGTGTGCATGTGTGTGTGTGTTCCTTGACTGTTCATGATGCTTCACCCCAGAAGTAGAAGCTGCTGCCTTTACATTTGCTAGTTTGTATTACTTAGAGTCTTCTTTTACCCTGTTTTATTATTAAAGCACCTTGTTCTAGTTAATCATTCATTTCATCACAGTTTTCCTGTTTGAACTACTGTTATAGATCCTTTCCTCTGATGGGACTCTGATGACACAGTAAGTATGTGACTCTTTGGTGGTCTTGCAATTCATCAGCTTCCTCTAAGCCAACCACTGGTAAGATTGAGTAAACAAGATGAATAAAGATGGAAATAATGTAGAAAATCTGCCACGACCAAGAGTTCTATACGACCATGTTAGGCTGGGTAATTCAAGGAGAATATATCATTAGGAAAAAGGCCTAGGGCCTTCAAGGGTCTCAAGAGCCTACAAGATGTTAAATATGTATTCCATTTTAGGGAATGTCTCTGTATACGAGTGCACATGCACATTCGCACACACACTCCAAAACAGAAAAGGAAAACTAACAAATGAAAGTAAGTGATTTTTTGTTGAAATGTTTCCAACCATATAATTCCACTCAACTGAATTTAACCTGTCATTTGAATTGTGAGTGCATTTTAATGTTGAATATAATGTGTGGTAGCGTCCCTCCAGATCTGAAGCATATCTGGAAGCCTGTTAATTTTTTTTTTAATTTCTTGAGCCAGACTCACAGAAGAGAGCAAAACTTTTAAATTCAATTTAGATGAAGGATTTTTAATTTGTTCTGTTGCTAATGACCACATACCTATCAACAGCTACCAGCTTTTTACTTTCATTTTTTGTGCATCTGCTTGTTAAAATGTACTCTACTTTTAAGAATGACAGCAGTGAACAGAACCACAGACCCATAACCACTAGAAGCATGATTGCCTGATAATGACCGCTTCACTCACACATGGTCCTGTCCCAGTTCTGGGGCATGTTGTCCTTAACCTTCGAGTCTTCAACTTCACATGTCAGCATTCCCTGTGCTGGCTTTCAACTTGGCATCAGTGAATTCCTTATGCTGACTGCTAAGCTTTAATTCTTGCATTAGAATTATAGTGCTTTTCCTACTTTTTTCTTACTTGATTTTTCCCAGAATTTAGGATCTGTAAAAGCATGTACATTTCCCAACAAACACCTGCAAGGAATTTCTACATGGGAAACACTAAATGTACGATCAGTTTCTTTTCCTTTTTTTCTTTTTACTCTAAACTTCAGCTTTACTAAGGTATAATTGACAAATAAAATTATAAGCTCTCTCAAGTGTACACAGTAGTGACTGGTTTATATACATTGTGAAAGCGTTCCCCCATCTAGTTAATTAACACATCCACCAATTTATATTTATCTTTCTGTGTGTGTGTGAAAACATTTAAGCTCTGCTCTCTTAGCAAATTTCAACTATACAATAGTGTTATTAAATACAGTCGCCATGTTTTACATTAGAGCCTCAGACCTTTTTCATCTTGTAGCTGAAAATCTGTACTCTTTTACCAATCTCTCCCTATTTCCCCACCCCTAACCCCTGCCAACTACTTATCTTCTCTCGGTTTTTACGTTTGACTTTAAAAAAATTTATTCTGCATGTAAGAGAGATCATGCAGTATTTGTCTTCCTCTGTTTGGCTTATTTCACTTAGCATAATACCCTCAAGGTCCATCCATATTGCTGCAAATTCAGATTTTTGTTTTTTTCCATGGCCAAAAGTATTCACGTATATGATATATGAATCATATATGACATATATATATGTGTGTGTATGTGTATACACACACACACACACACATATAATGTTTCTATATCTTGGCTCCTGTGAATAATGCTGCAATGAACATGGGAGTACAGAAATCTCTCTGAAATCCTGCTTTCATTTCCTTGGAATATATACTCAGAAATGGAATTAATGTATCATAGAATAGTTCCCTTTTTAACTTTTGAGAAACCTCCTTGCAGTTTTCCATAGTGGCTACACCAATTACGTTTTCACCAACAGTGTATAAGGATTCCTTTCCTCCACATCATAAACACTTATCTTCTGTCTTTATAATGACAGCCATACTAACAGGTGTAAGGTCATATCTCATGGTAGCACTGATTTGCATTTTCCTGATGATTAGTAATGTTGGGTACTTGTCATGTATCTGTTGGCTATTTGTACGTCTTTGTAAAAACTTCTGTTCAGTTTGTCTTCCTTTTCTAAATTGGATTGTTTGTTTTTACTATTGAGTTGTGTCAGTTATTTATTTACTTTGGCTATTAACCTCTTATCAGATATATGATTTGCAAATATTTTCTCCCATTGTGTAGGTTGCCTTTCCATTTTGCTGATGGTTTCTTTTGCTGTGAAAAAGCTTTCCAGTTTGATGTGGTCCCATTTCTTCAATTTTACTTTTGATGTCAGATCCAAAAACCTCTTACTAAAGACTGATGTCAAATGGCTTCTCTTCCATGGAATATTTTCTTCTAATAGTTTTATGGTTTCGATTGTTCTGTTCAAGTCTTTTATCCATTTTGAGTTGAAGCTATCTGCTTTCTAAGCATGTGCTAGTAATCTGACCATATGGTCAGAACAAAGAGGAGGAGGATTAGTCCAATCCATTGCCACCACTGGAAAAAAGTCACCTTATGCATTTTGCCTAAATTATATGAATGAGTTTATCCAAAACCTCCAGAAAATAATCATTTTGTGTGTCTAAAAGAAGTATATGTTTTTCTATTTTTGATTTTTAGGTAGGATAATTCCCTTTGCAAAAACAATAAAAAACAAAAACCATTAAAAGTAACTGGAGCATTAATATACACAGCACAAAATACACAACATTGAAAACTTTGATATTTGGGGTTCTATATTATTTGCCTTTCTGTTTTGGTTGGTAGTAAGACACCAACGGTAACCATAAAAGAGCATCTTTTATTCCATCTTGCTGGTTTTTCAGTGTCAGATGAAGTTCTGACTCTCCTTGATTCCACTTAGAGGTTAGGTGCTCATTCTCACTGTGACTCTCTAGTATTTGGAAGCATCTACTGAGACAAACTGCATAGATACATGTCTTTATAGACAACCAATAATGTTTGGAATACATATTCTTGCTAAATAAGTCTCTCGTGTCTTAAAGTTTCCGTACACTTAAAATTGACCTATGGAAAGAGGCAGATTAATCTCTTCCGTCACAGTAGAAGATACTACAAGGGAGGGGGAGGGATTATGTTGAAAGTAGGACTTTTTTTTCTGTTACTGTGGAATTGTGGCTAAGACATGGAGTTAAGAGGGAAAAAAAGCACTTAAATCTTCACATTAGAATTTGAAAGAACTTCAAAGATCTGCCGGTGTTTGGGTATCAACCATGTCCCCAAAATGAGAGGTCATTACCCCTGTGCCACTTTATATTTTCAGCCATCCAAATCAATTTAAGAAAGGGACTATGAATTCAGAGAAGTGACTGCGATGGAAGACAAAGCAAACTTTTTAAATGATAGATGTGGCGTATCTGCTTCCTGAAGGAAAGGTAGAGAGGTCCCAATAAATTGGCTAATGTTTACTGATGTCTGCATTAAAGGAAAACTTAGTTTTTGTGTGTTTATCCTGGTGAAAAACTGCCAAACTTGGTGTCCTGACCCTTGGGTTGTCGGAGAAAGGCAAGAAGTGAGGGAAAGTTGACATGATGGAGGATGACCAGGCAAAGGAAGGATAAAGGCATTTCCTCTAATTCTCATTTCCTGGGTCATAAGGAAGGTGAATGTAAAGTATTTCAACAAAAATGTCTATAACTGAGCACTATAATAAGCAGTAGAAATGGAAGACGGACTACTAAAATTTTGATGCTTAATCAATAATTATCTATGATGTTGCTAGCCTGCTACTTTCTAACCCAGCAGACCAATTTCCCTCTTACCTATCTCATTTTAAAGAAAAATAAATACCAATTTCATTGAACCTGAGAATGTCAAGTTCTCATTTTCTTTAGATCAATTTACATATGCCTACTAAGTATGTAGCTTGTAGGTACGGTGTGTGTTTAGAAAATGTGAGACGGACCCACCTCAATTAAGGCCAATAGAAGATCTGCATTTCTAGCCCTGATCTTGAGCATATTCTGTAAGAAGCGACCTTCTGATAAACTTTACAGATTTTACTTATCAAAGTCCAAGCAGGTCCTTGAATTCTAGAAAATGGTTCTCAGTAAAATAACTATTTGTATTTAACTAATTTTTTACCACGCTGTAGCTAGGTAGACAAACTCTGTAAGGAATGTAAAACGTAAAGGGTTAATATAAACACTCAAGCAGGAATAGCGTTCCACGGAAACAAACAAATATCCTTAACTTTCCAAATATTTGGATGGACTCGACATGAGACAGACGCATAATTCTATAATACTAAAAATACTGGTTTATTCTAACCTCCCCCCATATAATGGGAACACAATGTGAAGAAAAAATATTGTTTAATGAAAAACTCACCATATCAGTGTCTGAGACAGGGCCAAAACTGGTCACGTAGATGTTAGTGAAGACTTCAGTAATACTGTCTGATATGAGAAAAAGAGATTAAATATAGATAATATATAACGAGAGCCACTGAAAGAGATGGTATCAAGTACATGGAATGACTAGAAAGCTGTGTGTTATTTAGGAACATTGCTTTTTACTTTCTTTTCAACCTTTACAAACAACAAAAATTTCTGTATTACTCAATTATTTCATAGGTTCTCACAATCCTAAATGCTAAATGCCTAGAAGTATTATGACATTCTTACTTGGAAACTACACCTGATTTAGACATATTCTGTTTTAAACATATTTCTGAGAATTAATAGTTTCTCAAAATCTGTCTTAACTGAACCAGTTTATAAAAAATTTACTACCAGTACTAAAAATAAAGTGTGGTTAGTAGGGTTACTATTTGATATAGTCCTAAATTTGATTTTTAAACTAAATATTTCAGATGGTATTTCACGACGGTAGAGGTTTTGTTTGTAGACTGTCAATAAGTACATCTTCTCAATAGAGCATAGAAATGAATTGTTAATTACTATAAATACGATCACTCAGTGACAAAAAATAAAAGCAGTTAACTGACATCAATCACAATGGATTACTTCCAAACTTGCCTTTAAAGGTATTTACGAATGTATGAAACATTAAGCTCAACTTGAATTAGGTTCAAAGTTATATAACTTACTAACTGTAACACAGTTAACTAGACGGCTCTTTTAACCAGGTGATTTGGATCTTTGATTTTTAAAAAAGCCAAATGGTGACGGTGGAAAGGCTCAAAGAAAAGACTAAAAAAGAAAAATTCTTCCAATGTACTTATAGGAAAAAACAATAATACATCCTTTTTTTTTTCTGGTTGAGTGCTTATTTATTTATTTATTTATTTATTTATTTATTTATTTATATTGGAGTTCAATTTGCCAACATATAGCATATCACCCCCAGTGCTCATCCCGTCAAGTGCCCCCCTCAGTGAATAATACATCCTTAATTTCTATCATCACAAACTGAATGTCTCATCCTCCGTCCAATTTGTAATCCCACAGAAACAATATCACAAAATATTTTTAATACTATACTGGACACTGATTCACAATCATGAAGGAGAGAGTAATTAAACTAATTCTGGAATATTGTATCCACTAAGGCCAAAATAAAAAGCAACAAGGATTTTGAAATAACACAGCAGACTTTGAAGGCTGATGATTCACATGACTTGAAATATAACAATCTGCGTGATAGACCAAGAGGTAGAGTCTGTTATCATCCCAATACATATGCACACAGAGACACGTAAGGAAAAGCGCCCAACGACCCTCACTTGGTAGGGCAAATAGAGCCAGGCTTCAGAACCCAGGCAATGTGGCTCCTAAGCTCTCAGGGTAAACCACAGTCAATAATATTACACTTGAACCTAAAAGTGTTTTCTCATTAGCCACATATTTCTATTCACCGTAATCCTCTGCACCAAAAACATAGTGTTCCAAATAAATGTATTTATTCAACTTTATTATTTTATATTCTATTTTCTTTCAAAAATCTTTTTTCATGAAATTTTACCATAACATTCGTTTGGGACAATAAATATATTCATAAAGCTAATTCTCAGCTGCCAGCTGCCCCGAAGACCTGCACAGGGTCAGCTTCGTGGGCATGCAGCTTGTGTGGTGTCACACAGCCCTGTGCTCAGACGAGCCCCGTGCGTGGTTTGGTGTTCTGCTTTTGCTCTCTTGAAATTCTTAATTATCTTTTGAATAAAGGGCCCTGCATTTTCATCTTGGACTAGGCCTCACACATCATGCAGCTGGTCCTGGACGTGAATGATATGTGCTATTAGAAAGGAATTATGAAAATGGGACTCGAGTTGGTTTGCTTTTTCCTCTTACTCATTCCAAATCAATACTGTCACACCTATTCCATAAACAATCCAATAAAACTTTAAGTCACTACAGATATTGATTTTAAATGTTCCAGGAAAGGAAAATGTAAACGTTGAGGGAGTCTTCAGCCAAAGAGAAGCAGATAAAATTATTCTCTGTAGTCTGGAGTAGCAAAACTAGAGAAGAAAGATGACAAAATGTGTGAATATATTCATGCTAAGAACATGAAGAATATCCACTTTATGACGAATGGCAAGTAAAGGGTAAGGGAGAGTGCTCCCAGTACCTTGTGGCTACAGGGAAGTGGCAGCTAAGAATCCAAAGAGAAACATAAGATTACCCTCAAAGCTCTAGGCAGCAAGAGCAGCACCTAAAGACACAGAACACAGATATGCAAAATTACCTTAAGTAAATGATTTCATGGTTTATCGACTTCATAAGCACAGTGAGAGAGCTGTATGCACTGCAAGGAATATTCTCCAGCTAAGCAAGTTCAATAAAAGGAAGGTCAGCAAGGCAAACACTGACCATGAATACCCAATAGCTTTAAGACTGAGAAAGGGACTCCTGGTTGTTGCAATAGAGTTGCCAACAACCAACATGAATTGGTAAAATAGTTTTGAGTCATGACTGCAAATATTTGACACATCTATTCAAAACATTATCTTTGATTATGATTTGGTTTTCCATAAGAGAAGAGAAGGGAAAGGAAAGGAAGCAGAAGAAGTAAGATTTTATGAATATTGGTTATTTGGGGATCTTGCGACACTAATTTGTCAAAATCCATAGTAGCTTCTGGTCAACTTTTATTTTCCAGTATAGGTTTAGCGCAAGGCTGAATTGTGTTGCTAACTAATGCCTGTTATAATATTCTGATGGACAGATGTCCATCACAGAGTAAATAAATGGACTGACCACATTCTGGTGGCCCTTCAGTCTCTTCTTCGCTTTAAGTACCACGAGTTACCTTCTCGAGTCCCGATCACATTGAGTGGACCCACCTTGCACAGCCCAGACTCAGAGCCTTCACCTTGGCTACTGTTTCTCTCCCTTCCCTTGAGGTGATCGCTTACTTGCCTTTAAGTCTCTATTTAAATGTCCTCTCCCCAGGTCAGAGGTTCACTACGCCCCTTGTATAATGAAGTTGGCTTCCTTCATTTCCTCCCCGACACTTCATTTTTGCATAAAACTCTTTAAAATTTGCCAATATTTTCATGCCTTAATGTGTTTTCACTCACTTGGGGGTTTTGTTTGGTGTATCTCCCCAACCAGGATTCAGATGCATGAAAAGACGAAGACTATGTCACCTCTGTCCACTGTCCTATGGCTAGTCCTCAGCACAATGACTGCCACATATTACATGTTTTGTGTTTGGATTGACAAATAATTTCTAATTACAGTTCATGTAGAATATATTACCTTTTCCCCCAAATATTTCACCAACATTACAAATGGCCATGAATGGCTGAATGGGGACTGTCACTGTTGAAGTCAGAGCCCAAACTGTCCATTGACAGAAGGAGGCTGAAAGCCTATGGAACAGGATACTAGTGAAGAAACTTAAACCAAGCAAATGGAAAGAATGTATTTAGAGAAAGCCCTATTTCAGTGAAAACCAAAATTTAACTTTTGAGCAAACGGTAAGTGGCTTTTAACAGAAATGTAGACCATGAGTTACCTCAAAATAATTGTTCATAAGCTAAATTCTTAGTTTTAGAAATGCCAACAGCATAATATGCAAAAGAGGATCTTCCATACAGATTTTCCAAAGGCAAAATACCCCGAGGTTAATAAGAAGTACTTGAGGAGAAATAAGGACTGCATGTGGTAAACATAAAAGGTGTGATCCTTAGGAGCAATCATCCAATTCTGGATTTGAAAGGCAGCTATCATAGAAGAGAGAGAAAGGGGACTAACCTTTTCACAGTTACAGAGGGGGTTTCTAATGGTTTCTAATGTATCCTATTATTTTCCTTCTTTTAAATCTGACCTTAATTTTGGCAAACACGAAGATTTGATGAAGCCGGCCATGAAATAAATCCTACTATTCTCTGTACTCTTCTGAATAGTTGAAATACTTGACAGAAAGAAAAATAATAAATGGCCCTGAAAGATCTCCAAAATGAGTGAAAAAATAACTTCAAGAAGGGCTCACATTAACTGATGAAAATTGTTTCTTCATTGGAGAATGCAGTCAGTATTTAACAAAATTAAATTGTTATGTAAATTTTAGTCAACATACAGTGCAGTACGGGTTTCTGGAGTAGAATTCAGTGGTTCATCGCTTACATACAACACCCGGTGCTCATCATCACAAGTGCTCTCCTGTATTAATAACCTGGTACCCAGCTAGCCCACCCCCCCACCCACATCCCCCATCCACCCTCAATTTGTTCTCTATCATTAAGAGTCTCTTGTGATTTGTTTCCCTCTCTCCTCCCCCCACCCTTTTTCCATGTGTCCTTCTGTTTTGCTTCTTCAATTCCACATATGAGGGAAATCATACGTTATCCATCTTCCTCTGATTGACTTCTTTTAGCATAATACATTCTAGCGCCATCCGTGTCACTGCAAATACCAAGATTTCATTCTCTGTGATGACTAATATTCATTATATATATACATATATCATATATAATATATGATATATTTTTATATATATATATAATATAATATAATATAATATAATATAATATAATATAATATAATATATATCAAACTTACTTCCAAAAATCCTTTGCAAATAGTTCAGTAGGAAGATAACTCGGAAGACTGGGGTATCAGGTTGTAAAGAGGGTTTGCATCAAAAGAGACCTGATGTGCCACAACGCTGAGAATGTGACCTCTCTCTCCATGGCAGCAGGGCACTGACTGAAGGACTCTGAGAGAATCTTACCTGCAAGGCTACTGTACTAGAAATGTTGTTATATTCATAACAGTGAGCAAACTGAATCAGAGGAGACTGAAGACAATCTATCCAATTTGGAAGATGTTACAATCATCAAAGCAAAAGGGAAAAAATGATACTGAGAAAAGGAAAGTGTAGAAATCAAGGGAATAAAGTTCGAGATTTTTTTTAAGTAGTATTATTAGAAGATGCTGAAATAGGCCCTTTTATTTGACTGATATAAACTATCTGTAGAGCCTGGAAA